AATCAGATTGTCCAAAATATATTGGATCTATTTATTACATAGATCTTAAAACTTTCGTCTTATCGTTACATTATTTGAATATCATGTTTCTTTAGTTGTTCCATAGTGCTCACTGACTTTTATCTGTCATATTGCAATATGACTACTAATCCCGACTGACTATACATTATGTGCACTATGTTGAAATGGTCCACACGAAGACATAGGCCAGAAACCTTCAGGTGGTAACTGTTCCCTTAAAAACGAAGGTACATTTTGTCAACGGGTACCAACTAGCTTCAATATTTATGCAATACTTAATTCAATAGATAAAAGAGAACCTCTCAATTATTCTTCATAAATGGTTGTAGCTATTTAATAACGGAAAAAGACTTTTTTGCCTAACTCAATTGACTTCACCTTGTAAAATCAGTTGATGAATTTTGAATGAGTCAAAATACGTCATTTCAGCTCCATTACTAGTCGCCACCCAAGAAATCAACTTTATCAAGTCTGAAAATTAATGCGCAGTTTTATCAACCGTTTACATTGATAACTCATTGGCTAGTTACCAATCAAATACTGTCTTTAATGTTGATTGAATTATATCAATACAAGTTATGATACACAGTCATTGAACTAAGCACATCAGCATTGTGATACATGTTGTTCGGTTTTGAACGATTGGAAGAGACCTACACAAGACCATAGATTTAAGTCTTGCTCTGTAATACTGACCATTTTCGTCTATGTATCATTAGCTGAGCATGTATTGTGTATAACGAGAATTTAAACTTGTACAAGTCACTAGAAGTTGATGAATTATATTTTTTATCAGATGTATTTCAAAGCTATTCTTCTATTTACTCAACTACTTTTAAAAGTTATTTCTCTTGATAAACTACTAATTTTAAGTACATCATGAAGTCAGTCACTGGTGGATGCGCACTTCTATAGAGTCTCATAGTAGGACGAAACGACCATTCAGTGCTTTCAGGTTTTCCATGGTGCTGTAGCTCTAATTAACCCATGAAGTCAACGATAAAATTACTAAAATCACGACAAAATTACTGCTGAATTATTCATGATATTGTTAAAAATAGTAGAGATGATTTGTTTTTCTCATGAGGATACTTTCAATAAAGTTGTATTCTGTAAACTGAATAGTTTAGTGAAATTTAGATTCTGTTTAGACAAGTTGTCAGTCAATTGTGAAGAAATTCTAATAGGTCATTTTAGTCTGTCGTTTGCGATGTTGATTTTGGTTTTAGAAAGATCAGTGGGAGCATCATGTTTACATCATCACGATGCTGGTTCAGGTGTCTAGAGGTTAAGCGTCCGCGCTCAAGGTTGTAGAGGAGGAATCCGATACTAGAATAAAACGTCTATCCACTGATTCTAGGTTTTCATTAGTGGTCTGACATAAATTGGTTCATGGTTTCAATGAAATGCATTAAAATAATGTTGCTTTTGATAATCAAAATGAAATATGGTTTGTATTTCACACAAGGAAAGTATAAAACAGCATTTTGCATAATGAGATTGTGATAAACAATTGGTTGAGACCAAAGAACTGTCATCGACAGTTGAAAAAACGCGAAATAATGATTCCACAATCAAACGATGCACATTTATCTTGATAAACAATATACTCAACAGAGATAATGGTTACATAAGAAAAATCCATTCACAAACATGAATTACAGAATCGAATAATATTCCTGTTAATTTTAACTTAATTCAGTTCAAAATGACGGGTCCCAAATAGGACGAATTGCCTGTCCAACAGGATTCTACTGCTGACCACATTTCATCTTTTCTATATTAATATCGGAAGACGTTTTGTGGATATTATAGTAATTTTAATAGTTGAAATCATGAGTCAATTGAAGCTAAACTACCATGGAAAACCTGAATCGGTTGAAGTTAGACATTAATACCGTTGGATGACGGACAGCTCAGTGGTCTGTCGGTTAAGCGCTCTCGCATGAGACTGATATGTCCTGGGTTCGAATCTTTTGAGGCGGTATCGTGGATGCACGCTGTTGAGAAGTCCCACAATAGTACGAAAAGGCCATCCAGTGCTTCCATGTTTTCCATGGTGGTCTAGCTTCAATTGATTCATGATCTCAACTATTGAAATCTCCTATATTAGTTTAATTAAGTTGTAATGATCAATTTTAGTCAGTATGACATAATTGTAAAACAAAAATTCAAATCTAGTGAATAATTGGAACAAATAGGGATTTCATTACCGGTTCATATCAATATTAAGCACTTGAACATGAGATAGAATTTTACATGGTGATCAGTTCGTCTAACTATTTCATTTGAACAGCAATCCTGTCCATCTTGAGTAATTTAATAGTAACATCTATGAACATTAGGCTATTTGATACTGGTTCAGATTCTACAAAGACTATCAATTGGCTTAAGATTAATCTTTACCAATGAAACTTTACTAATACATTTAGAGATTCTTCAATGTAAAACTTTAGTTTGAATGATTAACTGTAGAATCAGAAAGTAATGTTCTTTCAATAATATGTGCAAGGAGTCTTCTTTAAAGAAATTTAAAGCAATAAATCTCTTTGATGAAGTTCTATGGTGTAATAAGATGACGAAGATTATCAGAACTATGTGATGATATATTAGCACATTACATTTCGAATAATCTGATCACACATATATGTGTTAAGACCATTTCATTTAACTGTATTTTAAATATGATCGGAATTTTTATACCATTAAAATGATCAGAGGGGGTTTTGTGGAGATTTAGTATTTTTCATAGTTTTAGAGCATGAGTCAATTGAAGCTAGACCACCATGGAAAACCTGGAAACACTGGACGGCCGTTTCGTCCTATTATGGGACTCCTCAGCAGTGCGCATCCACGAACCCGCTCGCGCGAGATTCGAACCCAGGACCTACCAGTTTCGAGCCGAAGCCCTTAACCGATAGACCACTGAGCTGGCATCCAACGGTGTTAATGTCTAACTTCAACTGATCCACGAAGTTGAGCAACCATTCACCAATTGTCTTCAGTGAGTTCCTATCTCACAACAGACGTGGTTTTGAACTCCACTGGTCACTGCTTCTCACTAGAGCTCCTAGTTATACTTCTCGAAGTCACTGGTGAGACTGGTTAGACATTAACACCGTTGGATGCCAGCTCAGTGGTCTATCGGTTAAGGGCTTCGGCTCGAAACTGGTAGGTCCTGGGTTCGAATCTCGCGCGAGCGGGTTCGTGGATGCGCACTGCTGAGGAGTCCCATAATAGGACGAAACGGCCGTCCAGTGTTTCCAGGTTTTCCATGGTGGTCTAGCTTCAATTGACTCATGCTTTAAAACCATTAAAATGATGTTAACCGATATGATTGATTTCTCTCTGTCTATCATGAAGATGTTCTTAAATTGCAATAACTGATGATAGGTTTGAAATTTCGATTTATGAAAGATCTCTAAGGCAATAACATACGAATTATATTGATTCATAAAGGAAGAAGTGATGGCTACAATTTTTTGGTCCCCAAAGGCCCACTCTCGGCCGTACCAGGGCATGTGTCAGTGATCTAACGTAATTCGAAATTTTTAACACGTAGTATTTAAAATGCTTTGGACTCTTACTTGAATTTTCAATGGTGTTGCTACCACACTTGTATTGTTATTAATGGCATTTATTTCTCACTTACATGGTTTAAGAAGAAAGTTGTAATACTGACTAAAATTGATTTAAAGTACAATTAGAAACTACGATACAGGTGATACGCTTTATAGACGTCTATTCACCTCTTCAAATGTTTAAAACTGAATAAGATATTTGAACGTAGTTCAGTCAGATCTTGTTGTAATCTCATTGATGCTCCGTGATTTATTACCTCGAAGTTCGGGATGCGATTCTCTCCATCGAAGTGCAAAATGCTACTTCAGGATTGGGTTGCATCGGCACCTGAACTAATGATAGGGAGTGAAGTAGTTGAGCGTGTTGACTGCTTCACTAATCTGGTGAGTCTCATCAGCCCATGTGGTCTGGTGTGTGACGAAATCTCAGCACGGATAAAAAAAATGCTCGTCTAGCTTTCGCCAACTTGTGTCATTTATGGCGTAGGAGAGATATCCGTCTAGCGACAAAAGGACGGGTTCACTGTGCAGCAGTTCGTTACCTCCTACTTTATGGCAGTGAAACATGATCGATAAGAGTAGAGGATATTCGTAGGCTGCTAGTATTCGATCATAGGTGTCTTCGAAGCGTTGCTCGTATATCCTAGGACCACTGAGTAAGTGATTCAGTTGCTAGGAAACGGGTACTAGGTAAGGATGGCAAATCGATTGATGAAGTAGTGACACTTCATCAGTTGAGGTGGCTGGGACACGTGTTACGTATGCCCAACCACTGACTGCTCCGGCGTGCAATGTTTCATGGTGTAGGAGTAGGTTGGAAGAAAGCTAGGGGCAGCCAGACCAAAACGTGGCACAAATCCATGAAGTCACTGACAAGTGGACTGAACCATGTTGGTAGGTGTAGACTACGTGGTTGAGATCCGCGAGATGATAGCAATCGATGGTTAGAGACCTTGAATGACATGGCTGAAAATCGTGTGCAATGGATAAGGTGCATCCACTCTTTGTGTTCTTCCAAATTCCATTCTTCTGAATTCTTCATGTCCCTATCCTTTTTCTCTTTTCAAATTTATCTCACTATATTATACTCCTTCAATAACATCTTCAAACTCTAATCTTTCACATTAATGCTTATACTCTTACTACTTCTACCATTATGGGATTTGACTTGACAACTACATCTCTGTGCTAATGTGGTATGGCAACTCGAACTGATGTACGTACGTACGTTCAAAGTTCTACGTTGTGACTGACTGACCTCGAAGTTTTGTAATCTTTTATTTCATCGAAGAGTTCAAGGTGACAACACTTTTGAATAATTTGATGTTACATTTATTTTTATATGAGAATCAGCAGAAATTTCAAATAAAGATTGTTTTAATTCATATTTCATTTCAGCCTTCAGACCGCAAAATTGAAACTAATCTACCTTTAAGTATTCAACCAAATAATCTACCGAATTCTGTAAACTTACCTCAATTTCCATATCCATCATCACTTTATGATCAACCAACTACAATTACTAAAACTTATGGAGATCCATCCGGTGATCAATGGACAGTTTATTATCGTAATCCAAATATTCCTAATATACATATTGAATCATCAATAAATGATAAACCAACTGCAATACTTGATCTTTCTATTCCAAACAAATCAATTTTAAATCCAAATTCATATAAATCTCCTTTACAACATTCCAATGAATATACTACTCAAATCAAAAATAATCAATTAGTAATACCATCTCAAAGTAGTATCCTAGAAACTTCTTCAAAATTTCCAAATAGGATCAAATTGAATCAGATCAATGAAATGGGATCACTTGACAATACACCCCATATACCTAAAAACAAACGTAGGGAACAAAGATTATTTTCAAGAAAACAAACGGAATATCTTATTCATTCATTAGAATCATTAATAAATTCAATAGAAAAAAATAATTTCAATCTTGAATTAGAATTAAAAGAAACGAATCATCTTTTAAATTTAAATGATAAACAATCACTATGCCAACAAAATTCTAATCATGATTTAAATTTACATAGAAACTCTTCGTTGACAACTAAAATACATCCAAAAGGATTAAATACAAAACATGGTATTGTTAATCGTAATGAATATAAAAGAAAATCAGCTAATTTAAATCATTTAGATGAATTTACACAAAATCGTAATGAAAAGGTAAGTAGATTAATTATGATGTAAATTATTTAAAACAAAAGTATTATAAACGAAGATAGATATAGTGGCTAGCAGTGGAATCTAGGGACATCCTATTTGAGACTCGTCAGATGGATGTACTTGCATCTCAGAGTTGATGTTTACTCTGGGACTCAAACTCAGAACCGTTCGTTTCAAACGTCATCACTTTATGCACTCAGCTATTGATTACTGATAATCACTAGTGCGTGCGATAAAACGAAACGCGCATCTTGGATTCCATTGCTAGCCACTAACCATCTTTGATTATAATGCTTCTGAATTAAGGCAATATCGAGTCAACCCTCACAATATGCACATAGGGTCAATAAGAGACTGACTAGTTGCAGTCCTAAGCATCAATGAAAAGATTCAAACAAATAATATCAAGTGAATCATTATTTAAAACGTTATATTAGATTTAGAGAAGTAAATGTTTTCGTTAAAAATAAGATACAGTGGTGTTGGTTACTTATATTCACACAAGTAGTATATAACGATGGTCAGGCATTGAATGTATTTCAGTAGAAAATCGATAAGGAGCGAATGAGAGCGGGACACAATTAGTATAAAAATGTATGAACAAAAATAATTGGAGACTATGGATGGATATTTGTAGAAGGAATAGTCAAAATTGAGAAAATTGATTGTTAATTTGCAAATTAAGTATTTACTATATGATTGTCTGATTTTATTGAGATATTCTGTAATGTACGTGTCATATACATTCGATTATCCTACCTATCACTATAATGCCATTTTAGTGAGGTAATTATCGAAGATCTATTATAAAACCATGATCATCAGAATTCAACCATATTGAATATGAGTCAGTTATTTATCAACTACATTCGAAGGAGGCTGAACAATATTTCACGTTGATTGTAGTTAGATATGAAAATTCTTGGATGTCGATTCAGTAGTCTGTTGTGTAAGCATTTGTTATGTAATCTAAAGTTCTTGAGTTCAGTCCTCAACATGGCATCTGTTTAGTTCGTAATGGTTTTCAATGATGATTTAACTAGGATTAATTAATAATGTTAAAAACCACTACAAAACCCCCAAATTATTAAAATTGATCGTCTAAATTTAATTCAATGAAAAAATATTGTTCAATTTAAGTACAATTTATTCTTATTTTGAACATAAAGTATAATTATTTCTGGTTTAAGTCGGTGGTTAAGAGTGACTGACGTATTAGTTAGAGACGTAGTCTTCAAGATAAATAAGATTCTTTATCAAGAAGTACCAGTAATTTAAAAGGATGTAATACCTTCCCTTTAATTTAAACTTACATTACACAATATCATGATTGGAGTAATTTCCACTGAATTACTACATCTATCTCTAACCTCCAGTAAAACTGAGACATTTATACTAAATGAACATAAAATGTCCAAGCTATTACGTATATAGTCCTAAGTGTTGACAGAATTTTATTGGCCATATTAATTGGAAACAATGTTTATCCACATAGACTAATGGCTACCATACATTAAGAACTAGACATATATGACATTTGTTACAACTCAGTGATTAACATCAGTAGTACAGCAATAACACTTATGTCTTCATTTTTGTATAATTGGAAAACTTACTATTTTTTCGAACGACTATCCATATTTCTTATGGAGTTCAATGAACAGTGTAATTTCTACCACTAAAACAGATAATGTAATCAGTTTTCATGATAATGCAACATAATATACAACAAGTTCCGAATGTATAATATCGTCTGGTTCGAATTCTCCAAGTTTCAAAATCATAGTGTAGCACCGTATTATACTCCTTGAATAACATCTTCAAACTCTAATCTTTCATATAATGCTTATACTCTTACTACTTCTACTGTAGTGAACAGAACACTAGTTGGGGACAATCGAATGTAATTAAGCAAACATTACAGACTATCTCGGTAAATTCTGATAACCAAACAATGAACAGTCAATTTGCAAATTGACAACCAATTGTTTCAATCTTCACTGTTTCTTCTCTAATTCCATTGCTCATGCATTTTCCAAACGATTGTGCTTCATTTCAGTTCTTTCTTCATCGGTCTTCTGCGAAAATACATTCTATGCCTGATCCACACCATATACTACTTATATGGATATAAGTAGACCACACCACACTACCACTATGGGATTTGGATCGACAACTGCATCTCTTTTGCTTATGTGATATGGCAACTCGAACTGATGTACGTACGTACGTACGTACTTACGAAGTTCTACGTTGTGACTGACTGATTGAATGAGTGTAGCACTACACAATTCGTAGATTTATGCACTTTAATTTTAGTACATTGAATAATGTCACAAGAATATCAAATGTTATCTAGTTTCAAAAAAGCTGTTTAGCTTTTTTTCTTCTTCAAACTACTAACAGATTTAAGAAGCTTCATAAATCTTGTAGGTGGTGTTGTACAAACTGTTTATACAAATCAAAGAAGATTTTCACTTGGAACATGAATCCGTTTTGACAAAAATTTGAAAAGAAATTGATAACTGAACTTCTTTGATCTATTTTGAATAGTCTAAAATGCTTATTTAGGTTTCTGTAAAGGTTCATCATGAAAACTATATAACATATTAGAGATCTTTTAAGATAAGTGATCAGGAAATTATTAGTCTGAGATATAGTAAAAGCAGATCAAACTCACTTGGTGTTGTTTGCTTATATCTCCACATTCTTAATTAGGATTGTAATTGATCAGTCTCTTGTTCCCCATATATGAATCCTGTATGGAATGCCTCGATATTGCTTGAAGTTACAAGCTATATAAGCAAATATGGATAGAGCAGATCATTTCTAAACTATAAATGTAACATCAATCACCACACTGATTGTTTTTTCTAATACACTCCATACCTTTACTTTACTATCTAGTGTTATTTTTACACAATGTGTAACAAGAGTTTCTAAAAATCTACCTTACTGTAGAACAATTCAGCTTGTTTTGTCAAATCTGTAGTGCCGTGCTTCGCTAATCGTTCACCTCAATAACCGTTATAATACAAATCTTAACGGTACATAAAATCAGAAGGCAAACAGAAGTGGTAACTACAGTTTTATTGACAAATGACGCAAGCCAAAAAGTTATAAGCACATGAGCAAATATCAGCGAACCAAACATAAACGACACGTATTGGAGATGGCGGATGAGCGAGCTCGCTTTGATCAAGCGTTTCTCAATATTTATAGTCAGATAAGAATAAATGACAGACATGTGATGAATAAGATAAGAAGTGTGCACAAATAAGTGAATAATTAACAAAGTCAGAACGGGACTCATGATGGATAGGTAAATTGGATTGTCCTGAAGCTAAAATAAGGCTATATGGGCTTAACATATCAACCGACACTACAAAATACAGTTTAGAATACATGTTGAAGTACACATACGAAATGTATATTTTATTAATTTTGTCACTGACTATACACAAGTTGTAAAGAAATGAAATATTGTACACAAAGTACATTTCAAGAGTTTTCAATCTTTAATATATAATGAAGCCATTATAGCTTACAAGATCTACTGAAAGAGGATGAAAACTACCATAGAATACAACTGCAAAGGAATCGAAGAATCATTGACTTCAACGTGTCAAGAGGTTCTGGGTCATAAGAAGCATCATCATAAGGAGTGGATCTCCATGAAAATCGTGGACACGATCCATGAAAGGAAGCGCAAGAACACAGAAATTAACAACCATCGAAAAGAACAGAAAAAGCCACTCCATAGACCAAATACACAATAGCACACGAGCAATTGAAGAGGAGCATTGAAGCTGACAAGCAGAAATGCGTGTAAGCCCTAGCGATGACAGAGGAAAAAGCTGCAACAGACATCCATATGACACAGCGAAGAAACCAACAGGAAAATACTGTAGGGCAGAAAGACTAGTCAAGGACAAAGAAGAAAAGCGAGTCACGGAAATTTAACAGCGGTGGAACCAAATAGTAGAACACTTTTAAGAGCTCTTGAATGGACCAGCCTTACTGAATCCACTGGATATCGAAGTAGCACACAAAAATTTCCTATAGCTGTCACTTCATCAACAATCGAAGAGATCAACATGGCCATACCAGCTGAAACACTGCAGTCAGACATAGAAGTGACTGCAAACATGCTCAACAATCTATTAAGAAAGAATTGAGAAGAAGAATAAGTACCGATAAACCAGAAAGAAGGATAATTCTTGGTGTAGGTCTGTTCTCTGAGCTGGATGGTTTGGTCGTGGAGCTTTCATCGTCCTTCTGAATGACATCATCAGCACAAACTTCGGGTAGAAGTGAAATGTTTGAATTTCTCCACATGTGATTCACAGATTATCTTGTGCACCTCGATGTTGATTGGTTAGTAGGATGCCTCGTCAAGATACCAAAAAAAGGAGATCTCAAAAAGTGTGAGAAGTACACAGGTATCACACTGCTACAAGTTCCAGGAAACGTTAATAGCAAAGAGTTCTTGAATCGAATGAAAGATCTATTAGACGCAAAACTTTGAGGTCGACAGTTTGGATTCTGTAAGGATTAGTCATGCACAGACCAAGTTGCGACACTACATATCATTACTGTGATTATCCCCTGAACGTCACTTTGTTTACCTGAGTTAACGTATACGGCTCAGATTAACACTCACTGACTCCATGAACTGAATCCAAAGACAAATTATTTTCTTGAACAACAAATCTTTTCCTTCATCCCAAAAACTGACGAAATTTTTTTTATTTTCTTGAAACAACTTACACTTTTTACCACACCGAAAAGTAAAGTTTGCCCAGAGTGATAATTAAAAACTGTCTAGTAATTTCAATCATTATCTCTATACTTGACATACTGTTCGGATCCCATTTAATTTAGTTCATCACGGTTTTGACGGCCGTTTCGTCCTATTATGGGACTCCTCCCATACTCGTGAGATTCGAACCCAGGATCTACCAGCCTCGAGCCGGAGTCCTTAACCGATAAACCACTGAGCCATCACGTGTATATTTCAATTTAATTATCTCCTAGTTACCCACTAATGAAAGACTGAAAGAAAGAAAGAAACCCATAAAACACATTCTAAGTAAAATGAGATTACAATTTCTTTTGTTGTTTACATTTTTAATTAAACGGATGAATTGGAAGCTTGGTATGTGAATCACAATGAACATTGTAAAGTGTATCTTAGAATCTGGTTTAATATGATTACATTTACGCGGATTCTTCTTTAAAAATTATGTTTCAAGATTTAAAAAACTCAAGTGTTAACTTTAGGCAAATGTAAAGCCCTTAAACGTGTTTAATTCGTTAATAACAAACAAACCTGTATAGCAAAGATGGATAGTGGCTAGCAGTGGAATCCAGGACACGCGTATCGTTACAATTTGGAACTCGTCAGCTAGATGAACCTACATCTCAGAATTGATGTTCACTCTGGAACTCGAGCCCAGTACCGTCCGCTTCAAACGCCATCGCGTTATACACGCAGCTACTGAAACCTGATAGCTACTTGCTTGTGCAATGGGGTGAAGTTTAAATGCACTTCGTTTTGTTTGTTTCAGTCGAGACAATGCGCACAGTATGCACATATGGCAATAAGAGACTGACAAATTGCAGTCCTAAATAACAATACGAAATTACAAGTATATAGCATCAAGTGAAACCTGTAAACGATTTAAAAGAAATGATCATATGCTCACTAGTGACTGGTTTCAAGAGGTATTTCCTGGAGTTCTAGTGAGAAGCAGTGACCAGTGAAGTTCAACATGGTCTGTTGTGAGATAGTAACTCATTGAAGACAATGGTGAACGGTTGCTCAATTTCGTGGATTGGTTGAAGTTAGACATCAACTCAGTGGTCTAGAGGTTAAGAGTTCGCATGCGAGACTGATAAGTCCTGGGTTTGAATCTCACCAGGAGGGTTCGTGGATACGCACTGCTGATGAGTCTCACAATAGGACGAAACGACCGTTTAATGATTTCATGTTTCCCATGGTGGTCTAGCTTCAATTGACTCATGACCTCAACTATATAAATTACTAAAATCTCCACAAAACCCCTTCCAGTAATAATTATACAATATAAACAGATAATAATAATCAGTATATAAGAATTTCTCCTCTCATTTCTTTTATTTTCACATCTATTTAATCAGGTTGCTGTTGAAGTACGTGTAGTATTTTTAAAAATTGGTGAAATTGATACATTGAAAGAATTATATTATGCTGATGCATTTCTTCAAGCAAAATGGAGAGAACCAAAACTTGATGGACATACAGCTGAAGTAAGTTAATGATTATAGTCATAATAACAATTCAAGTAATATGTAAAGTCATTTGTCTATCTTCATAGTTGCAAGCGTGAGTCAATTGAAGCTAAACCACCATGAAAAACCCGGAAGCACTGGACGGCCATTTCGTCCTATTGTGGGACTCCTCAGAAGTGCACATCCACGATCCCGCCTCCTGAGATTCGGACCCAGGACCTACCAGTCTTGCGACAGAGAACTTAACCGATAGATCACTGAGCCAGTATCCGGTGGTGTTTATGTCTAACTCCAATCAATCCACTTTCAACTATGAAAATACTAAATCTCTACAAAACCCCTCCTGATTTGTCTATCTCATTTGATTTATATTAGTTACTAATATTCCCAGTCATATCGTCCGTACGTTGTATATCCAAATGTATTATTTACATCACTAGCATAATAGTAATTATTTTATAGCTAAAACCAGTTTCTGACGTAAACCACATTTATATCGAATAACCATCATAAATTTACCATAATCATAACTAACTGTTAACTGATAAATGAATTTGAGCAGAATGTCCGAAGTCTCAACTATGACAAGAGCCAGATTGCTACTTAACCAGTGGAATCGATCACCTAAAATGTAGACCTGTGAATTCTAAATCTAGTTGAGTAATAAGACGTTGATATGAAGGCATGAAGGTTGTGTGTAAATATTGTTGAAGAGTTCCATGGTAGATCAAGATGTCTGTTCAGTTTATTTTTCTGGTTATCACACTCTGCATAAGTAAAATAAGTCCTTGATGTCTAACTTACTTACTACTTGCTTACGCCTGTTACTCCCTATGGAGCATAGGCCCACGGCCAGCATTCTCCAACCCACTCTGTCCTCCGCCTCCCTTTCTAGTTCCATCCAATTTTTGTTCATTCTTCTCATATCTGTCTCCATTTCTCGGCGTAATTTGTTCGTTGGTCTTCCTCTTCTCCTTTGACCTTCAGAATTCCATGTGAGGGCTTGTCTTGTGACACAGTTGGATGATTACCTCAATACGCGTCCTATCCACTTCCAGAGCTTCTTTCTGATTTCTTCCTCCGCTGGAATCTGCTTTGTTATGGTTTATTACTGATAATGTCTGGCCAATGGGTCCGAAGTATCTTGCGTAGACAACTGTTAATAAACATCTGTATCTTCTGGATAATGGCTTTCGTGGTTCTCCATGTCTCCGCCCCATACAGTAGAACTGTCTTGACATTTGTATTGAAAATTGTGATGTCGGTGTTGGTTAACAATTGTTACCGAAAAACATATTTATAGTAAAACATAATGAAAGTAATCTTTACCATCAAATGATATGAAATATAAAACTATTTTGAAGAACTCAAAAAGAGCTGGCTAGGCATTTCATTGCAAATTATGTCACCAATCTTTAAAAGTAGTTGATCTTAAGAAATCACCTAAGAAAGGAGGCTTAGTTTTTTATTGTTTGTGTAACATATGTGTCAGATATGTCTATATATGTCTGTGGGACCGAAACTCATATCATATATCTATAATGTTAGTAGAGGGACTAACATTAATTAGTCATGACTGAAGCTATTCAGAAATCAACTTTACTCCGAAATGCATTTGAAAAGCAGAGGAAGAAACTAAATCTTTAGCCTTCTCCCAGTCTTTTTCAAAATCATACATCCATTCGTGAACAAAAAATTGTAAAACAATGATTTTATGTTCTCATAGTTGAAAACATGAATCAATTGAAGCTAGATCACCAAGGAAAACCTGGAAGCACTGGACGGCCGTTTCGTCATATTATGGGACTCTTCAGCCGTGTGCATCCACGATCCCGCCTCGCGAGCGAGATTCGAACTCAGGACCTACCATTCTCGCGCGCGAGCACTTAATCGATAGACCACTAAGCCGGCCGGCATCCAACGGTGTTAATGTCTAACTTCAACCAATTTGAAGTTCAGCAACTGTTCACCAATCTTCTTGAGTGAGTTGATATCTGACAATAGACGTGGTTTGAACTCCACTGATTACTGCTTCTCACTAGAACTCCAGGAAGTACCCACAATAGGATGAAACGGCCATCCAGTGCTTCCAGGTTTTCCTTGGTGGTCTAGCTTCAATTGACTCATGCTTTCAACAATGAAAACACTGAAATCTCTACGAAATCCCTTCTGATAATGATTGTCTGTTCATAAAATTATAGTCTAAGTATGTTTTAGTTTGTCCATTATGTGTTTTTTTTAAACATTTTAGGAATTGAGTATTACCGAGCTGGAACAATACTGGAATCCTTTGTTATATATTGATAATATATTAAGTGAAACGAAAGATACTCAATGGATAATGGCTGTACGAAATGAATATGGTGAAGTCTATCTAATGGAACGTAGACGTATTAAAGGTGTATTTTTAGAAACTTTGGAATTAAATGATTTTCCATTAGATGTACAGGTTAGTTACTAAAACATTTGTATTATGACTAACACATTTCAAAATGTTTTAATGAGAAAGACTTAACGTTTTTTATACATTATTATACACTTCTACCCGAAGTTTATGCTGATAATGTCGTTCAGAAGGGCGATGAAAGGTCCATGACCAAACCATCAGGCTCAGAGAACAAAACTCCATCAAAAACACTTTTGTGTTCTAACTCAACAGTTTAAAAGTGATAGACTTGTCATGGAATTTGTAGCTTGTATGTGTATTCCTAACAAACTTGAATAAAGTACATACTTAACGTACTATAAACTTTAATTATTTTACAACTTGTATTACACCTTAATGAAAACTTTCATGCACCAATTTTGATTTGTTTACTTTATCGAAATCCCTTGTTGAATAGCGTCTAAATTAATTGCTTACTGAGCGTTGGTCCAATCCATGATGTTGATCTTATTTAATTGATTAAATTAAAATTTAACTACTAGTCTAACTGGTTATCTCGTACATTGTGTTAAGATGCAAGGTGGAGGTTAAAGGTAATGTTCAAGAGATCTTACACCTTTGTTTAGTGCAAGCTGACATTTTCCAACAAGTGATATCTGTGACCTTTAGGGACTTGATGCTTTCTATGTGATTCAAACCTTAATCACCCAGATTCTTGGTTTTTATATGTTATTACTGATCTACTCAACTCTTGACTAACCTCCTGTACAACAGAGATGTTTGTAATGATTAATTACTTAATAGTGGCTAATACCGTGCTTATTTATATCCAACACAAAACTTTGAGTCACTTTGGCTAGCAACTACATTACAATTTGGACTATTTAATTTGTTCAGCTCTAAAGAATAAACCTACAGGCAACTAATAGGAAAATATATTCAACAATAAAGTTCAAACACGATTGTAATCTAAGGAACTTTTTTATTCTTCATACATGTAAATATTAGATAAGGATATGTGTAAACGTTCATTTGAATTGTTTACCATACTTAAGAGTAATACCTATGTGGATCTTCTATGGAATACAGGATTAAAAGTATTGGATATCTTAAATGAAGTTTTTATTTATCAGCTTTAAATAACTTTAGTCATTGAAATTATAAGAGATTAATTATATTTACACTTTATTAGATAATTTAATGCTTATTTGGTGCCTGCATCTCAGATTTAATATTCACTTTGAGACTCAAATCCAGTACCTTTTGCTTCAAACGCCGTCGTGTTATCCACTTAGCTACTGAGTCCTGATAGCGTTCGAAGCGAAAGATACTGGGTTCGAGTCACAGAGTGAACATCAACCCTGTTATGCAGAAAGATGCATTCACGATCCCGCCTCAAGAGATTTGAACCCATGATCTATCACTCTCGCTTGGCGGATTCGTGGATACGCACTACTGAGGAGTCCCACAATAGGACGAAACGGCTGTCCCATGTTCCCAGGTTTTCCATAGTGGTCTAACTTCAATTGATTCATGATCTCAAGTATATAAAATTACTAAAATCTTCGCAAAACCCTTTTCCAAACTTTAAGGTCATAATAATATAAACTGAATAATAATACGATTATAAGGCTTATGTAAATTATTTCATCGAAATGAAACTTTTCTCCTCTGAATTCATTAGTAGAAAGGGGTACATTAGTATTAAATAACTATTGCCAGTACTCTTTGATTTGCAACATTTTTTCAATTACAGTTGTTCTATCTAGTAAGTAAACGTATTGCTGGAAACTACAAAAAAAAAGGAGGGAATATTTTACTGTTTTCTTCATCTATTATGTATTTTTAAATAGTCATAGATAGTGTAAATAGAATGTTGGATATAAATTACCGGTTAACATAATAGTGTAGAAATGTTTAGAAGTGTGTGTGTGTGTGTTTGTGTTTGTGTGCACATTATGAAATGTAATATTCAGTTTGTAAGTTGTATAGAGTGTAAATGTTACATAGATAATCAACCTATCCTAAATACATTATAATAATGAGTATAAAACCCATTTCCAGTTCAAGTACTGTTCTATATGTTGAATTAGTTAGATGTATAATCTATTATGTATCATTCATGCTTTATGCAATGAATGTTTTGTACATTATCTTTTGTACAGTATTCATTAAATGTTGGATCATAAATTTAATGTTTTCTTGAAATATGGATAACCTTTAAATACACGTAAACAACACTAAATGAATTTAAACTTTCTCCATATTGAACAAGCAAGTGGCTATCAGAATTCAGTAGCTAAGTGGATAATGTGATGATGTTTGAAGCAAAAAAGGTACTAGATTCAAGTCGCAGAGTGAACATCAACTCTGAGATGCAGGTACATCCAACTGATGAGTCTTAAATAAGACGAAACGCGCGTCAAACTGGATTTCATTGTTAGGGATAACCTTTATTACTACATAAATAAATCAAACATTTCCATTTTTGTTTAATTTTTTTACCTTCCCATTTATACAATGATCTATAAAACACTAATACATTTTATTTATATATTAATTGCATTTGTAGGTAACAATGTTATGGTTAGATTCGGTAGTTTTGAATAAATTAACCATTGTGTAGAGAGTTAATAATGAACTATTTTATGGTATTCCAATAAGTAAAAGAAAATTTATGTTTCTAATGTTTTGTAACTTAATGTTAGCTACTTCTTCAGAGTAAATAAATAACTGAAAGAAAATTAACACGCACGATGTACAATGTTTTATGGTGTAAGAGTAGGTTGGAAGAAGGCTAGAGGCGGTCAGACCAATGACCGTCCAATGCTTCCAGGTATTCCATGGTGGTCTAGTTACAATTGACTCATGATCTCAACTATATAAAATTTTATCTATTTTTTCCGAATATTTACATTGTTTCCCTATATCATGACAGCTGTTATTATGTATAGATCTAGTGTTTCTTTCTATCAATTCTTTCTTTTTTATTTATTTAGGATTTAACCATTACTGTTACAACAGAACGACCTGATACAGAAGTTGATATTATTCCTGATCAAGTAGAAATGTCTGCTATCAATATACAAACATTTGTTGATCAACAAGTAAGTAATATGAGATATGTTTACCCAGGAGACTTGAATATGTTATGTGTCTCATTATTTAAACTCTAAAGGGAATCTATTCAAATTATAGTTGAGATATTTAAATAAATGAAATCTTCCAACTTGGTAGTAAAATGTTTTGAGATTTCGTTTCTAAACGATTGTCTATAGTTCTCAGCTTATTTTCCAAACATATAACGATAGATTACTTTTGTTAACTGCATCAATTAAATCAGTAGCGATTACAACACTTGTCTATTCCAACTTCATCAGGTATTTCTTGGAGTTCTAGTGAGAATCAGTAACTAGTGAAGTTCAACCAGGTCTGTTGGGAGATATCAACTCACTGAAGACATTGGTGAAATGGTTGCTCAACTTCGTGGATTAGTTGAAGTTATACATTAACACCGTTGGATGCCGGTCAGCTCAGTGGTCTAGAGGTTAAGCGCTCGCATGTGAGACTGGTAGGTCATGGGTTGGAATCTCGTGAGGTGGGATCGTGGATGCACACGGCTGAAGAGTCCCATAATAGGACGAAACTGCCGGCCACTCTTCCAGGTTTTCCTTGGTCGTCTAGCTTCAATTGACTCATGCTTTCAACTATGAAAATACTGAATCTCCACAAAAACCCCTTCTGATAAAAATATATATTTATCAAGTTTCTTTTGTATTTGATTGGTACTTCACTATATAAATGAGTGTATTGTCCTATTGTAGATTTTCGATGTAACCCTCTTTGTAATGTTCCATCTTCTCTTCTAGTTAGTTGGAAATCTAGAAACGATATACTATCATACTGTTCTTCCTCTAAAGTAAAAGTAATGAATGGGTGGATGTTATTAAATATATTATGTATGTTCTCCTTTTCAAGTTCTTTTTCTAATACTATGTGATTCACAGCTTGTCCTGTGCACCTCAATGTTGATTGGTTCTTATTGACCTTAAATCTGTCATTATTTATTTCAATGACAAATTTAAGGACACATATAGAGAAATTCAAACACTTCACTTCTACCCGAAGTTTGTGCTGATGATGTCGTTCTGAAGGACGATGAAAACTCCACGACCAAACCATCCAGCCTAGAGAACAAAACTCGATCATAATCCAAAAGTTAAACTAAGTAGCTTTATAACATGGGCGATAATTGAAACATTGAATATTCACTATACGTCAACTTGATGTTTTCCTAATACCTTTCATTTTCATGAATGTTTAAATTTGTTAATTAAGATTGGAAAATTTCCTCTTTTAATTCAACTCTTAAGAAGTACTGGTAGTAATAATAGTCTCTAGGATTTCTTTCATTTCATAAAGATTGAATTGTTAAACGTTTGCTGTGATTGAAGTTCATAGTGAATCATTGATAGGTCTGAACAACATCTGAAATTTGATCTGATGTGTACGCTGATGACATGAAAGCATAGAATATTGAAATTGTATGGTTCATACGATACTTCATTGTTAATAAGAAGTCTAAGCTCATATATTTCCAACTTTATGAAGTCTGTATTAGAGACTGATTCTCAATACTTCCCAATCCCTAATTATTTGCCTCCAAAAATTGTCTTTAAGATTAAGCACTTCCGAATATACGATTGTTTTCTCGAATAGTTGGTTCAGTAAACATTAAAGAATTCTGCATGAACTAGTATTAATTAAAGAATCTTCAAAAGTCGGCATGTGACATTCTTTTCATTTTAAGTTGAGATTTAGCAGATATATGAACAAATAGTCTATACGTGTCAAGTCTCAAACACTGAATTTAAATCTTTGATTGAGATCATGAATCGATCCATGTTAGACCACCATTTCCTCAACCTCATACTGATAACTGCCATGTGCTCACTAGTAACTAGCTTCGTGAGGTAATTCTCGAAGTTCTGGTGAGAAGCCATGACCCGTGGAACTAATCTATATCAGGTAGAGACGGGTATCTACCTCAAGCAATGGAAGATGATCGCGCGATTTTACGGTTTGGTTGAAGTTAGACATTCACACCGTTGGATCCCAACTCAGTGGTCTAAAGCTTAGGTGTTTGCGTGCGAGATCAAAAGTCATAGGTTCGAAACGCGTGCGCAGGACCATGAATGCGCACCGCTGAGGAGCTCCATAGTAAGACGAAACGACCGTCCAGTACTTCCAGGTTTTTAATGATTGTCTAACATTGATCGATTTATGACCTCAATCAAGAAAATAACAATCTCCACAACCCTATACTAAATTTAAATACAATAATCCAGATTTCCGACTATAATCTAGTCTACCCTCTACTTAAGAGCTTACTTGTTTAGTTACCAGTGGAAAAATATCCAAAATATCTATAATTTTCTATCATTTATCGGAACCTCAAAAGGATGTCTATCTCCAAATGTTGTAATCTTGTTCATATTCAAAATAATTGAAGAATCAAATTCATTTAGTATAGTTTGTTCTAAACTTCCCATCGATATGTTAGGACTGCAACTGGTCAGTCTCTAATTGGCATATGTACATATTGTGCGTATTGCCTCGATGTAGCCTTAATTCACAAGCATGGTAAACAGAGATAAATAGTGGCTAGCAGTGGAATCCAGTTTGACGCACGTTTCGTCCTATTTGGGACTCGTCAACCAGATGTACCTGCATCTCAGAGTTGATGTTCACTCTGTGACTCGAACCCAGTACCCTCGCTTCAAACGCCATCGCGTTATCCACTCGGCCACTGAGTTCTGATAGCTACTTGCTTTTGCGATGGGGTGAAGTTTAAATTCACTTGGTATTGTTTCTTCAAATCTTCCCATCGATGTGTTAGGACTGCAACTGGTCAGTCATTTAAAAAGAATCTAACTATTTTCTTTCCTTTTTTATGATTTCATTATAGTACTTATTCAAGAAAAGTAAATCTAATTCACAATTTCTTTCTTTCTATTTACCTGAACAATTTCATAAATCAAAAATCATTAATTTTGAATTAATCTCCTGTGATAAACACCTTATTTACTTACTTACTTACTCCTGTTCCCTCTCGTCGACGAGTAAAGGACGCACATCAGTATTCTCCATCCAACAAACAGTTTGTTTACTTTCTTTCTTCGTAATATAAACAAACAAACAAATAAACAAACTGAATTGTTTTCTTTCAAAAGTTTAATTATCATGAGACTATCCAAATGTATAGAAAATGAAACATTTCTTTATTTCGATAAATAGATTACGATAAACATGAATGTTTGTAATGGTAAACGTAGCGTAGCGAACACGAGTGGGGACAATCGAATATCAGTTGATCGTCTCCGGTTATTATTATTCATACATTCTCATACCAATCGCGTCTCCTTCCCCTTCCTTCATTATTGATCTTTTACTGAAATACATTCTACTCATGACTATCGTCATATACTAATTATATGGATATAAGCAACCCACACCATAGTAGTAATGTGGTGAACAAGAACATGACTGGAGACAATCGAGTGTATTACAAACTATCTTACTAAGATCTGATAACCATACACCAAGCAGTTAATTTAGAAAATAGCAATCAATTGTCTCAATCTTCACTGTTCCTTCTGTAAATATCAATTCTTCTTCTCTAATTTCATTGTTTATGCATTTTCCTACCAATTGCGCTTCATTTTAATTCTTTCCTTATCGGTCTTCTGCCAAAAATACATTCTATGTCTTAACATCATTATATACTACTTATGTGATATAAGCAACCCACACCATAGTAGTATATATGCAAAAATTTCCACATTACGGATAGACCACTTAGCCGGCATCCCATGGTGTTTATGTGTAACCACAACCAATCCACGAAGTTGAACAACCGTTCGCCATTTGTCTTCAGTGACTTTCTATCTCACAACAGACGTGGTTTGAACTCTTCTGGTCACTGCTTATCACTAGAAATCCTGGATTTACCTCTCGAAGTCAGTCTATCGGTGGTCTATTGGTTAAATGCAATGGAGCAAGACTTGTAAGTCCTGGGTTCGAATATCGTGAGGCGAGGTCATGGGTGCGCACTGCTGAGGAGTCCCATAATAGGACGAAATGGCCGTCCAGTGCTTCCAGGTTTTTCATGGTGGTTTAGCTTCAATTGACTAACGCTTTCAACTACGAAAATACTAAATCTCCACAAAAACCCTTCTGATTTCCACAATAAGGTATTTATACAAATCTCGACTTCATGTAACGTATAAATTAAACAATAACATTTAGTATTAAAGATAATATCTAATAAAGATTTAGTTCAAATGATCAACTGTTTATGAGAAAATTTTAACTTTAACTTACATTCAACTATGTACTAGATTTTAGTCATTTCAAGATTATATCAAAAGCAATAGGCATTACTGTTATGAGTAAGAATTATACAGATTGTTTGTTATAACTGACTAAAAATAACTGATATTATCTGACACATTACTTGATTCTATTTATTGAAACACATAAATATTGATACAAGGAGGTATCAAATAGATATATGCCATGCAAATCATTCGATTTGTGTTAGGGCTGGGATACTGGATGAGTGGCCAAACGGAAGCAGATGGTTTTATTAGGGGGCCATACCCTGAGCCTTTGACCCAAAGGTGTAATCCACAAGGCAGTGGAACAAAGTAAGGAAATGAAGTCTCATGGTAGACGGTGACCAACAATAGGTTCATACGTCATTTGCTTCCTTAGGATCATGGAGTTCATGTGCACCATTGGTTTAGAACCACGGTTTCTCAACTCCTGTAGATCGACCCCAACGTTTCAACCAACCAGGTTAAAGCTCCGGACATTTGTTTTTCGTCCTCTCAACTTCGTAAACAGCATCCGCGCTACGAGAAGATAGTATTCTACATTATATAAAGTCATAAGTATATACTATAAAAGTGTATTCAACTAGAATGAAGCTTGTAACTTCAGGCAATATCGATGCAGTCCGCACAGGATGTACATATGCCAACAAGAGACTGTTCAATTGCAGTCCTAAATAACAATGTGAAGATACAAGTAAACAACATCAAGT